TTTATATTATTTTATTATATATTATTTTATATTATTTATATTATTTTATTATATATTTTTATTATATATTATTTTTGTAAACTTATATTACATTATATAAAATATTTCTGTTCGAATTTGTCATCAACTGCTGGCAAACGCTTTCGATTCTAAGGAAATTCAGAGACTCGGATGTATTTGGACGTTAATTAAAATATGTACATATTTGAAATTAGGTATTGAAGTAAATCAAGTATCGAGCTTCGAAGTTTATTGGAATTATTTCAGCGAAAAAAAGAAGAAAAATATGTTAAAGGAGATAATAAAACTAAAGATTGTACAGACGAAAGGAACAATAATGAAATAACAATTTAATGTTGGACAATTATTAATGTTTGGCTAAAGTACGACATTACGTTTCATATCGTTTCATGTAATAATACAGAAAAACTTTTTAATCTTGTAAAATCGCATACCGAGGTTCGCCACAGTCTATCCGATAAAATTAGACGCTTTTGCGTTCATTATCATAAAAAGGAGAATGATACAGGTATCAGAAATGGGTCGAATTGAATGGAATTTAATTGAAAAATACGTACACATATTCGTTATATTTTATAGATACGTTGAATATATATAATAAAAAGATTGTCTAATAATAAAACTTATGAATAATTCAAGTCTGGCCAATCTAATAAATGGATGAACAATGTTTATATTAAAAATAAATTTGAAAATTCAGGCGTGCTCCACGCGAGATTACGCCATTGATTCACTGACGGTTATACAGAATGTGAGAAAACGCCATTGGTTAGCTTGTCTTTAGATTCTAAGAAACATATATACATTTTATACGTGTGTATGTACAAAACAAAAATTATTTTATCCATGAAACGTGTATAGACCAAAAATTATTGTATTTAAACAGTGTATCGGTAAGTTTTTATTTTGAGAAATGTTAAGAAACAAGTTCAAATAACGCAGAACCTGCACCTGAGACTGCAACAGAAAGTTAATTGGATGCTGGATGGTGAAAACTTTTATAAATTAATTCAGTTAGTTTTGGTAAACAACGGTGTATTTGTTCGTCGAGGAAGAGACGATAATAATATTTAATATATAATATATTTTATACATAATATTTATTAATATATAATAATACTAATACTAATACTAATTACTAATAATACTAAACTAATACTAATACTAATATATAATATATAATATATTTTATACATAACATACATTAATATATATATATATATAATATATTTTCACTTTCTTCTTAAGTCAGTCATATATTCTTTTCTTTTATTGTATTACGATATTACCATATTGATCTTTCGGTTATTATAAATTCAATTTAACCACTTTTATCGAGAACACGTATAATAATCCGCATATCCGATAGATTTTTCGAATACAAACATATTTCGAATCGTCATCCGCGCCGGAAGCGTCGCCGAGCGCGACGTTGTAGCGGGAACTCACTATTTATTCGATATGAATATAGGAACATTATTGTTCATATTTTTAACAACAAGAACCTTCTTCAGATTATTAGTGACCCAAATTAATTTGTAACGTCGAGGTCTCGTTATGTAATGGACATTTCCAAGAGTTGGCACAGATACAAGCAAGACGTGCAGACGTCTCTCTGTTTTTCTGTAATGGGAGAGAGAAGATTTCGAATTTCAGTAATTTATACAATAGATTACGTATTCTTCTATGTATTGTCCAATTGTTTATAGTACTTTGTAACATTAGTTGTTGTTTTCTTTTTTAATACTAATTATACGTCGAACAAGTTTAATTGATATTATAGAAATCGCATCAATAACTTGATCGATAGTTGAATAATTCATGCAACAATTATCCAATAATTTAATGATCATCATTTTGAGATGGGTGCCCTTATTGCTTCTCCCGAAGTAGGAGATTCGCTGGTTAACGTCGCGCCGCAAATGAAGAAATATTCTGCTGGAACTGATGCTCGCTCGAAAAGTTTTATTTCCACGTTACCAGAGAGGAGCAATATTTTCCATAGAAAATTAATTTGTTCACCTGATTCCGATAGCATTAATGGCACAAGTAGAAAGGAGTTAAAGGAAACATTACCGATGCAGAATTGCGTATACGATGAGATTAATAACTCGACACTTCGCGATTGTTACAATTATCAGTTTCCTTATTACAGGTGACCATTATTGTATAAATACTATAAATTTCTCTTACATGCATAAATACTAATATATATAGTATATAATTACTATATAATATATAATATATATAATAATTACTATATAATATATATATAGTAATATATATTCTCTTACATTGTATAAATACTATAAATCTCTTACAGGAGTAGCAAATATAGTACCCAATGTTCAGACACAGTTTTGGTCAAAGACGTAGGTGTGTCATGCATGCTTTTTTATCCGGATAATCCTGAGGAGCCTGTTTCTGAAACGAAAACTTATTTGGTTAAACAACTCAAAAGAGAGTACAATGATCTATCCGATATTACAAATAAAATAACTGCATATACAAAAGATATTTTGAATCATTTATCGAAGAAACATCAGAGGAAACGTAGCCTGTTCCATAACTTGGTATTCGATTGTATAAAAATACGAAACGGTCGTCATTGTGCGATCTATTTATTTCTTTTTTATGCTGTAGGTTTCTTCGAAGCATGCAATAGGATCTCAATATATAAATAGTAAAGGTAAGCTGTGCTTGAAGTTGAGGCTGTTGAGTAATACCGAAACACAGTTTAGTACTCATCAAATTGCCAAAGGATCTAATGGCACAGCTTGCGACGACAGGAATGTTAAAAGAGAATCGAACAATGAATATTGTAATTGTTTTACAGCAAATTAAAATGTTAATTAGTCAATCTTATTTATTGTTTGTAGAATGTTCATTTTTTTTAATTTTTTTATTATGCACGCATTTATATACAGGGAAGAAACAGATTGTTGGTAATACTAAACACGAGAAAGAAGTTCAAACTCTTTTTATCGGAGAAAAGACGGGAACGAGCACATCGAGCTTCTCGTCGAAAAAATCTTCTTCTATTTATAATTATTTGACAACGAGGAAAAGGAGATCTTCAAATCAAATGTTGAAGTCCACGTTAATAAATAGTTATAAAGATAAAAATTGTAAGGAACGTTTGAAGACAAGTAAACCTGTCGTATTCACTAACTGGAAAGAAATTTCAAAATCCAAACGGTCAAAAAACAATGCCCCGCCTGTATCCAATAAATCGCATGAAATGGTTTGTTTACTTATTACTAAATATGATTTTCTTATAGATGAATAAAGTGTAATTAAAATGCTGTATAATTTGCATTTTTAATCCAACGTGTGATTATTTTGGTTGCAGATTGAAATGAAAGAAACAAGCTCCCAAACGCAGTCTCTAAATAGCAAAATTAACAATTTACTAAAAACAAGGTTTCATACAATTAATATACGAATTATAAAACGTACTAAAAAGCAAGTATAGTTATTGCAACCGTAAGTTTTACTTGCATTTTAGTATTTAATCATTGTTTTTATATAGTTTTATTTTTTGATTGAATTTTATTATATTCAAAATAAATGTATTAAAATTTAGAAACTTATTTTGTTGTAGTAATTACACAACTTAGTTACTATATTACTATACGAAATGTTCGAACATATACACGCACATACAATATGCGCTTATTGTATAGTATAGTTAGAAAAAAATATTTATTTATATAATATATTTAGATGC